CATAAATCAGGTGGTAATCAGGTAGTAATCAGTTTAAAATCAGGTACCTGATTTGTGCCTGATTTTTTATCTTTTGATCTGTGCTAGTCATCACTCTCTCCAAGTAGCAGATCTAGAGTTCAAATTTCACAGATAACAATATTTGAAAAATAGACTTGTAGACTTGTATTTTGGTTGACGGCTATACTTATCGGTTAGATCTAAAACTAAATCTGTAACTTCAGTTACACCATCTAGTAATGGAAGCTTTGGCACAATAAATCTAAGAAACTGTATAACTAAAACCCATTTGGGAAGTCCCGAACTTGAAGGTAACAGTGATCTTTAACAGTACTACAGGAGGGCTGAATTTGAACTGGGCCCAAGATCAGATAACTGAGCAATCAGTTTCTTAAATGTGGGAACACACCAGCTGAACCACCAGGCCAATACACTAGAGAAAAGAGTATACACTCTAAAAGTATGGATCGAGGGGAGGGTAACCATGAGGCATCTAAAGCCTGGGCAAATCAACCCTTCTGAGTTGCTAACTAAAAGTAAGGGAGAGACCAATAAAAGAATCCAAGTAAAAGATAGTCTAAATGTGAGTACTGGGGTTGCTGAGAACCAAAACAAGAGCAGAGAGTATGTAATGGGTGCCTAATTAGAAAGGCTAGTACTTGAGAAATATCTATAGAACAGCAGTACTTCAAAAGGTGGTATAAGATACAAATATGAAATAGCAAGTTAATATATACTAATTAGGAAAAAGTTATAGGAACATGCAGATGAATACATGTGTGGAACATGTACCACTCTGTTAGGTTTATCTTAATGAATTTGAAAGCCAGTTTGATGATTTAGTATTCAAAAGAAAGATTTTGTTCTAAGTTTCTATTGAATACTAAATTATCAAAATAGTATCAAAATTCATCAATATATAAGCTACAATCTGCCTGATTTTTATTGATGGCAGCCCATATTTTTATGATTAATTCTACTTTTAATTTTCAGTTATTCTTAATAACTGTGATGCTAAATTGCAATAATAGGTCAAAATAAAGATCTCAATCACAAATTGAAAGGTTTATAAATAGTATATTGAAAATTTACAAAAAATATATATCAATAATGAAAACCTATAGTAAAAGTATAAAAACACTTGAACAATACTTTATTCATTTTAATATTAAAAGTATTGATAAATCAGGGCAAAAAAAAGGTGGATAGGAACAAAAAGTTTATTGACTGAAATGGAAAACTCACTTCTCATTTTTTACTATTTAAAATCTTTTTTTCATGCAATAAACTACTTTACTCATCTTAATGACAAGCTCTATTGATCAATTAAAATTACTTTCCATTAATTAAAATTTAATTCGCAACACATTTTTGACATACTTTGATCCATTAATTGAAGCGCTTGAGAACGTCTTTAAGTGAACTCAGTTTAGATCTTTAAATAGGTCAAATCTATAAAATAGGTAGATAAGAATAATTAAATATAAAATGCATAGTCATTATATTTGGCTTATAATGAAAAGAATTTAGAAAAATTTATACATAATAAGTTGAACGCTAAGCAATCAAATTTCGAGTCTGTTTCTTAAAACGCCATTTTCAAAATTAAGAAAGATAGTATAAAATATGAAGTAACAAAAATTATTTGTTATAATAAAATTACGTATTAATTATATTGTAAGATTCAAATATTAGCTTAGAAGTAAAAACTATCTTTTTTGAAATTATACTTGACCGATACTGTTAAATTCGCTGACCCGGTTGAAGTGAAAAAAAAGTTTCGTTGGCCAAATAATGATGATTATCGTTTCGTTTGGAGTTGACTATCAATATCAAACGCTTATCGATTATGATGATTATCGTTTATAATCAACCATATCGATGACTGTCGATATTTTTTTCATCGATAACAATCGATTATTGGTTAGTAATCGATAGCTAAAAAAATTTCCCGATGGCGTCAATAATTTAGGAAACGATCCGACTCAATGTTATAATATATGAATGCTATTCTATATTAATTAGATTATCTATATTCTCATCAATGGAAAGCTATGCACAATACGTACTAATTAATTTTATTTGACGAATTTCTAGAGAATTTTAATATATAATAGATGTTTTTCCTGCTATGAATATTTGATTTTTAAATATATTAATTACATTATGTCAGGTAAATTATATTTAAAATCTGGTGTTTATTTTATCAATATTGTTTGTAAAGTTAAAAAATCTTAATTTCATCTTATAATGATAGATTTAGCCACTGAACGAGCTGTTGCGATTGATGTAGTTTTGCAAGCTAGTAAAGTTTGTAAAAATGTTTTTAATACCCTTATAGCGAGCGATACTCTTGTTAAAAAGGATAAATCCCCAGTGACAAGTATTTATTGAAAATTTTTGTATTTATGTTCATGTTTAAATTATACAACTTTTGCAAATTAATTAATGTTTTTTTTTTTTTTTTACATTTAAAAAGTTGGTGATTTTAGTGCACAAGCTGTAGTAAACACTTTATTATATAAGGCTTTTCCAAATGATTCAATTATTGGAGAAGAGAACTCAAAAGATTTACAAGGTGATAGCGGAAAAGAAATGAGAGATAAAGTTTTATAATTAGCTAACTCTGTACTAGAAACTCCCTTGAGTGAGAAAGAGGTTGATATAATATTATCACTTTCCATATTCTATTTTAACTTAATTATTATTTACATTCAAAGTTGATTAATTTAAATAATAGTTATTAGACGCTATTGATAGAGGAACTTACGGTGGGGGCCCAACCGGAAGTCAGTACTATAATCCTTTTTCGTCATTTTTATTATATAATTAACATGTATTACTTGTATTAGGAATGTGGACTCTTGATCCGATAGATGGAACTTTGGGCTTTCTTCGTGGAGTGAAAGGTCAATTCGCCGTAGGAATGTGTTTAATTATTGATGGTATTGTTAGTCTTAGTGTTATAGGCTGCCCAAATTATCCAGTAGATTATAAAAATCCTGACGGCGAAAAAGGAATTGTATTTATTGCTGTTAAGGGACAAGGTGCTTTTCAGGTAAAAGTTTATTGTTATTATTTTTTTCTGTTTTATAATTTATATTTTCTATTTTCATCTAATTTTATCTTTTTAAACATAAAATAATAGCGTAAGTTCTCTTCAACTGAAGAAACACCAATTCATATGACAGAAATTTCATCTACATCAGAAGCTTCGTTTTGTGAATCCTTAGAATCTGATCATTCTTCACAAGATGATAACGCAAAAGTTGCATCATTACTTGGAATTACAAAGGAACCTGTTCGTATGGATAGTATGTGTAAATATTGCGCTGTTGCCAGAGGTGATGTTAATATTTATCTGAGATTGCCTAATAACGTTAATCATGAGGAGAAAATTTGGGTACATATAATTATGAATGAATTGTATATATCCTTTGACTATTTTACTTGCGTGTAGTATTAATTTTTTTTAAAATTAGAATCATGCACCTGGATATCTTCTCGTCGTTGAAGCAGGTGGTATAATTACAAATATGGACAATGAACCTTTGAATTTTACTTTGGGAAGAACTTTGGGAAAAGTTAATAAAGGATTCGTAATTACACATGCTAAAATACACGGACAAGTGCTTGAAGCCGTTCAGAAAGTTATTTACAAAAAATAGTGAACTTATTATCAACAACTTCAATCTGGATTCATGATTAACTATTACTCGTATACATAGTTTTACAGTAAAGTTTTTTTATTTGTATATCTTATTCAATATTAGTAATAAATTGCCATTCAAAAGATTTTTCTAAATCAATGTTTTACACAGATCCAAAAAAATTATTGCAATATTTCTCTGAAGCAAATCAAATTCTGAAATTCGAATTATTCGGTTTACAATTTGAATTTCACCGCTACCACAACTAACCAAAATTAAACCATTGAAATTATGTCTAGCTCTAGGTAGCGAATGATTAGAATCGACAGATTTCTGGTACCATTTTTTTTCTTAAATATTAAGTTTTCGATGAACTATTTTTCATTTATAAATTTTCTTCATGAAAAACCAAAATCAGATCATTAAATAAACAAAAATTTTATTAATTTTTTATATGTTTGGTGAATACTCGATTAAAAAACTTGATGTTGATTAATGCACGGTTATTACTATTAATATTTTTATTTCTATTAATAAATTTTAGTATAATAAATATTGAAATTATTTTTATATAACTAGTTAAAATAGTGTTATACTTAAAACCTCCCAATATTTGCTACCGTAAAACGCCGTATAAGGTACCCGGGTATCTTACAATTCACATGATAAAATTTGATTTGTACCCCCGGGTAC